CAGGATTTCCTAAGCAATCATTTAGAATCCACCAGAATGACTACTAGGCTGATTTAATTATTAGAAAGTTTGGCAAATTTAGTAGTGGCTAGAGTATTGGCCTCCGGCAAAGGCCTTCTCTGAAACGCGGGTTCAAATCCCGCCTCGAGTTTTTTCACAATTGAGTCAATTCAAATTTAAAAATTTATCATAATTTCCGAAACCAAGACAAGCCGCTAAGAGAAAAATAACTGCTACTCTTCCATCACCGTCTTTCTATCCATTTGTATCCACTTGAGCGAATGAGAATCAATTACATGAACCATGTGCTTTTTATATCTTAGCCTCTCTTGGGGGGGCTAGCTTTATGCCTCGGTATGGCAGTGTACACTGTACACAAAAAAGGAATCGTTACCTGCCTGCTAGTTACTATTAACTTGAGCTTGAAATTGCGTTAGTAATTATGCAGTACGGTATGAATGATAATGATAATTTACCGTTGGTTTTAATCGTTACTGAAAGTGATGAGTAAGAACGGAACGGCTGGCCCTTCTTGTCAGTAGCGTGTATAGTGATAATGTAACTGGAATAGATATTGATGTTTGGAAGTACGTATTCTGGCTTCGTGACGGTAGCCTTGTCCTGATATGTTGCATTGCGGACGATGATTAAATACTGGTTTCCGCATTGACTTGTATCCTTTGGAGGCTTCCAAGCGAAAAGAATGCTCGAGGGATTCGGCATCGAGGCAGTCAGATTCATTGGTATCGGCTCTTCTGCAGACAAAGGTTAAATAAATCATCTTAATCCGATGGCATTGCAATAGCTAAGTGAAGACAAGTCGGCTATTAGCATATAAGCACAATATTATCTCATATTTAATGCCTTAAATCTAGCATATCTTGCTGGCGTACATCCTTTGGTAGGATTTTACCAAATGTTTTATATTTGCAGTTCGGAAATATGCATGTTTTCTCAATTTGGCCTCAATTATTTAATTAAATGTGTGTGAAAGTTTAGAAGATGCTTAATTTCTGCGCATTTGCTTGTTCCCTTATTAAAAATTGTGAGAGAAATCCAACGGCATATGAACCTTTAAAACCAATTGCTAACAACCACGGTGGGCTCCCCTTTTTCTGTCAACTGAACACACATTGGAAACTGGTGGAATCGAGACAAATCTTATGCTTCTTGATATCAAGGGCGTTTCGAATACTACCGAATCTTGTAGAAATAAATGTCTTTTTGTGTTATGTGTGAAATGAAACGACATTAATGAAGACTAAAATCCTCTTAATGATATGTCTTCAGACGTCAGATCATTGTGCATCGAAATCAGGATAAGTGTGCTTATGAGATAACAAATTCTTTTCGGGAAAAGGTAGCGATGTCAATTAGCAAAGTATTTTCTTGCAGGTGTGTTTCATTTTGTGCCATAAAGATAAGTAATATATTTATGGGGTGGTAATTTGTTTTTCTTAACCTATTACAGCATGGAAAGTCCTGCAAATAACTTTCAGGACGAAATTTAACTTGGTAGTTTAGAATATATCTTGACAGGTTATTTTGATCAACTGGGTGCATTTAATAATTAGAAAGGCTTTGGTTAGGAAAAATGGTATCTTAGTTAAAATTGTGGAGCAAAACAGGCAGTAATTTTGGTTAAAACCTGAGTAGGTTATTTTCGAAAAAATTTCCTATGCTATAAGATATGACAGAACCAAACTGTTTACTAATATGCATTGTGCTGTGGAAGGTTTCCAAAATAAGTGAAAAAATGGAATAATCATCCTTTTCGGAACTGGAAAATTTTGTTCGAAGTTGATCAAATGGAAGTGAAGCCAAATTTATGGAATCGCATTTATTTTCAGAAACAAATAGAAATTTAAGTTTCAAAAATGATTTTTATTTATCCTGTGAAGTTTTTTTGCACAAAATACAGTAACAAAAATTTCGTCGAAAATTTTGTTTTACCACACAGTTTGCATCAGCAAAGTTTGCCCTATAGTCTACCGTGAAGTGATGCAAAGAGGCCTTACTAAAAGTAAGCCAGGTAGAAATATGTTTTTTAAACCATGCGGTTTGCTTATGTGTTATTAAGAATCGGAACACGCAGAAGAACCAAATTATTTCAAGAAAATTGTCATATTGAGGGGCAGTCTTTTTCGCATTTGCAAGATTACACCCGACTATGGAATTAATCCGCTTATGTGAAAAACGTTCCATTATAATGAGAAAAGTAAATTCGTTTATCTGCAGTCAAACTGAATCGTTTATTTTTAGGTAGATTAAATAAATTATCAATATTCTCCAAGTTCATTGTGACACTATCTTAGAAATTTAATATACACAGAAATTCGTCAGCCGAATATCTAATCAAAGCCATCTTTCAATAGGGAACCTTTTAAGGAAAGTTCATTAATATTACTAATAATTATATCGAGATTCCGTTGCGGACATGGTTTATTCTCGACAATGTGGTTTGCTGTTTCGAGGCATTTCTACGTATGAGCAACATGGTCATCATTATAAGAACTAATATCCAGAAACAGATTTATTCGGTAAATTCTCTTCATATCTATCTTATTTTAAAGGTTTTGTGTAAACGTCGAATAGGAGCTCAATTTATTTATTTATCTATGAAGACACTGAAAACGAAGAAAATAATGACTTTACTCGGCTGAATTCAATAAAGGTGTATCCACTTATGGTATTATGTGCAGAATATTTTGACTAAGGAAAAGTTCTTCCTGTATAAAGTAGTTGGTTGCACTCCGTTTTCAACTTAAACAAATATTAAAATTTTTTTTTCTAATTAATGGCAATTTTTTACATCTCCGGAACTTGGGGTTTATCGGAAAAGTTTATTTTTCTCAACAGTCACTGAATACGTCTTATAGTTCTTTTAAGCCCTTAATATGCCTAATGCTGTTCATTATCATTTTTAAGTCTCCGTAAATGCCTTCTCGCTGGTAGGCAAGAAGTAATCACACATTTACAAACTTAGACAAGTTGCTTGCAGGACTCGCATACTGTAGAATGACCGTAATTGACTCTATATGGAATGTCTCGAAATTTCATAGGTTTTCCCTGTAAATTCTTAAGGGATCCCCGTCAGAATATTGCCAATTTATAGAGGAGGATCAGTGAATATAAAATTTTGAAATGCAACGGGCAGAATGTTATTATATTTAAAGCACTTTTCGTGCATTAAAAGCTGTAATTTGTCCTCAGTACCCACATTGCCCAAGCAACTAAAGATATTTTGGCCATGTCTATGGCTGACACACTTAATACTATTTTTAATATTAATAAAAACAATACAAGGTATAAACGTTTTGTATTCGTACTTGTTGTTTACAAACGTGCAGTTGTTTTAGCTCCTATGCCTTATACATACTTGCATTCAACAGAAGACCTCAATTTGTCACACCGGATTTGCCTTAATTTAGTCATTTTTGCGAAAGTTACATATTTTATTGTACTAAATAGTTATTTGTCAATGAACCCATGTCTGATTTACTTATGATTCTTTATTTTCTGTTCTTATAGGTGACACCTGCGCTGAATTCGCGCAATAGATACTTCCTTCCCAATAAGAAGACATTTCGTCAGATATGCAATCT